GGCTGACCCGGTTACGTTTCGACGATTTTTAATTTAGTCCCGTGATTAACAGACTGTGTGACTACACAGTCAACTTCAACCCTCGGTTTTTGGACCCTAATACGAATCTAATAATTACTAGTAAACATATTCTAAACTAACCATTACTCGTCATCTCGTGTGTACAAGTTTATCCCTTATTTCGCCCCCTCCATATTGCTTTTTGAGATAAAAGATATCTATGTCCGTCTTTTTGTTACAATCACACATTTTCATTTACATCAAAGTTCAATGATATCTGTTTCACAGTTTAATCATGAAAAGCTAAATAACAGAGATAGGCATACTTTCGCATTTATAATATTAGAATGGGTTTAGCAGACTAACTAATACCTAATTAAACCAGACAGTGTTTCTTCGTCTGTGGGTTGGAGCACTGTTTATCCATGCTTGTCAAAGGAAGTATTCACAATTCTACGGCTTTGTTTTTGTATTTATTATCCAATTACATACACAATTACTGATGGAATTTCTATAATATTTTTTGCTAATCAAATTAGTTACAGGAAAATTATTTCGTAAATAACTTTCCGGTCTTCATGATCATCCTATCTTCATCCACTGGTGCCCCGTCAGCGTATACCGTTAGTACAGGCGGATGCACCATTCTATTATCATCGGTTCAAAAAATATATCACCCACAGAATATAACAGATTGCAGCTGCGCATTGACCTACTTTATTAATTACAGAACGACAATTAACATGCATATGGATGACGATGACTTGAGGTCATAGTTCAAGTCATAATTGCACATGTTGTTTAGTAAATTATTGTAACAATCTTTCTCAATAAAAGCGGATGTACATGTAGAATTTAACTATAAGGAAGACAAAAATAAACCTACTTATTTAATGTACTACTTTGTTTAATTCCGCTATCATTAGCATGAACGCACAAATAATCCGCGTGGAAACATGACCACCGCTACTGGAAGCATTACGATTTTCTCTATTGGTGATCAAATTCCGACAGTTATTGATTCACGTTATCGACCACATTGCGACACGTGTTTTGCTTCTGAACGAGGCATCATCAAGGATTGAATAGAGTTCGATATATAGCTTGGAAGCCTAGTGTTGATTATTCGGCAGTTTGGTCGGCGAATAATAATGATAAATACTCTTCTGTAAAATAACACATAATTCAATAAAGTACATGAATCTACTTTACAATTTTTTATACAATGACAAATGAATGTTTTCAATAGCACACACTATAAGCAATACTCTAAGATATTAAAAGATATTGTTATGTAAGATATTATTTGTTATTTGAGATTTATCGGATCGAATGACATAGCATTACTTAGATTTCGATATTTCTATGAATAATTAGATACATAGAAAATAGTTGTTCCAATAAATACCAACGAAATTTTTCCGATTTGTTATTGAATGCATATTGGACCACTAATTATTTTCACAAATAATGCTGCTCGTGGTACTTGCTGAAAATGAGCTTTCTAGAGTTTTAGGTAAAAGAAAATCGGTTAAGTATTTTTTTAAAGAATAAAAACTTATTTTCTAGAAATTAAAAACTCAAACCTTCCCTCTTTATAATATTAGTTTGAATAAAAATTTTATTAGAAGAAAATGCAGTTTAACACACTGCCTAACTTCCAATGGTCGCGGGTTTGATTTTTCATCGCGTGATGCAACCATTTTGTAGTCATGAATAGGTATTATTGTTTACCTATTGGTCGGAGTGTTTTCTATTAATTAGTAGTTTTTCCAGCAGTTGTCTAGTACCCTTAATACGACCTAAGCTTAGAATCAGAAGACGTGTGTGAATTATAATTATCCTTCATTATTATTGTTTTAAACAATGTAGTAATCTAAGTTAATAATAATATATGTATCTAACTATATACTCAACAAATGCGTGTAACACAAGACAATATTGTAACACTAACCATCTGTATTAAATAGAGTTGCATTGAGTATAGTCAACAAATAAGATCGCGTGTGAAGCAGGAAACGCGACGCTTCGCGCATATCGCTCGGTTAACTACAACCGTATCGACACATTTCCTGTTTATATTGATGTAAAATCTATTTGTTCATTTGTTTTAAGTCATCATAGGTATACCCGTGGTAGGCTATGTACAAAGTCACATGTAAACTGGTCATTTGTCTGCCTACATTTGTCTATCATCGAGGTCAGGTCAGATCGATTAATTCCATTCGTGACATATTCACCAAGAAAATATCAAAACGTCGTTCCGTCAGGGGGAAGTTGCGTAGAGGTTAAACTGACATGGTACATTGCTAATTATAAGGTCATTAGCCCACAACGCTATCAAAATACCAGCTTTTAAGCTGTACCGTCGGAGGACTCGTGCTCACGATACATATGATATGAGAGATATGATGTTATTCTTCAATAATACTTTCTTAGTTTACCAGATGCTACATTTACATCTCTTAGCCCACTCACACATTTTTAAGATCCGTCGGAGGTGTTTTTTTTATGGATGATAATGGAATGGTACACCCGCCTGCGGTAACAATTTACGATGGCGGGCACCAGTGGAAGATGAGCATGATTCAAAATTAATAAAATACTTTCAAACGTTCCTTATTCTTGTACATTTTTATAATAAGGTCATCAGCCCACAATGCTTACAATCCCATTTTCTCCACAGGTGATGGTAAACAGTTACCTAGTACAGACTGCATAAAAATTATCATTAAAGAGGTCAAGCTACACTTCTGAGGATAGTAACAAAGTATATATAATTACTAATCCCCTTGGTTAAGTTATTTTATGTAATTGTAATGGTTTGTTTACGATTACATTTGATAGTAAGTGATAATCATCTAAAAAAGCATGAACAGTACTATGGACATTATATTATCATATGATACCCGGGATACCACTCATGTATTGTCATTCTGTAGATATATGATGTTATAACTCTTACCCAGCTCATTTTTCCTGTGCTTAATCACAGAGTAACTAAAACACTTGATATGAAACCCACAAGACAGTATCTAATGTGTTAAAAATAGATGTCTGATCTGTAATTAACTAAATAATTACTTACATTCATTGCAGATAAAAAAAAGTAATGGCTGTAGAATGAAACAATAAGCAATATTCCCATGACCAAAGTACTATGAGATTTTTTCAGTTTATAAAAGACAATGGATTATTTGTATTAACTAAACACTAGAGAAGGAAGTAACTGAACAATTGGAAATACTCAATAAATATTTCAAAAAGCCAGCATTAAAGGTTAAAGGTTTAAGTTTGTAGCCTGTTTTTATTTTGCCTTTAATAAAAAGTGGCAAAATATAAACAGGCTATAATAAATCACCTAACAATAAACTGGTAAAAAAATTTATTTTTAAAACAGTAAGTACTTAAAAAAATTTTTCAATTTTGTGCAATGGTTGCATAGTTTACTTGTTTCATAACAAACTCTGTTCCTCCCTTTACCAAACATCCTGAGTGTATTGGAAATTAATTATAAGAAGAATCCTTTATTACTCAAAATAAACTAAAATTCAAAGTACTTATGAATAGCCACACAATTTTTTCATCTATCATTCCGAATGCAGTCTAAAGACAAGAGAACAAGCAATACACTTTGTAATTCTTTTATACAAATGATGTAACTTTACTTTTTTAGTTCAAAATATCTGTGAATATAAACTATCAAATAACAGAAACTCTGTATTACAACTATATATTTTTAGCTAAAGAATGTATAATACATTCTTTAGCTAAAAATATATAGTTATATATAGTTGTAATACAGAATTAATGAGTTCCTGTTATTTGATAGTTTATATCTAATATTTCTTTCTCAAACAGAGTAACAATTAGAAAAATAAAACTGGTAAATAAAGATATTTATCAATGCAATGCACATATCAAGACCATGATTTTGGGCATAGAAATTTTTGAAGCTTAGATTTATTTAGGGACTATTATCATAATATGATAACGCCAGTCCCATCATATCTTATTACTAATCTTGTCTTCTACTATACTATATAAGTTTTGCTGGCGATAAATTATTCTGCATAGATATGTTCTGCTATGTGTTGATATGTGAATGTAGTAGTTACTTGCTCTGTAATAATTTAAAAATCAGTTAATTTTATATATTGCTATTTTTTAAATTAATTATTAAGGAAGAATAACTTGGTTGCCTGCAACTTATTATTTATTTTGAAGCATGATAGGAATTTATATTGTTTTTTTTTTGACCATTCATTAATTTATAATAAATTTACATTACCACTTTTAGCTGAATTTAAGTGTCTAATGGGAAAATATATTAATAATTATTCTAATTTAATTGTAATTGGGATTTAGTTTGTATTATTCTAATATTCAATTAAAAAAATCAAAATATCTTTATCCATGTGACCTACATATTAAAAACTCTAATGATATGTTAAATAATAATATAATAAAGGTGAGTGAATTCTCTTAAGAGGAAACTACGGAACTACTAGACTAAATTTAAAAATATATTTCACTGTTCCAATGGTATATTATTCCAGAGTCTGAGATTCACAAAGTAACAATCAACCTGGGTGAAACCGGAGCTAACCACTAGTTATAGAAGAAATCAAAAATTAATTGATCTATTAAAACAAAATCACCTACCATCAGCAATATTTGCAGTATATTGGAAGAAATAATTTTGAGAAAATTCCACTTAAATTACTATCATAAAATGTATACTTTAGAAGATGTTTGAATTTATGCTAGTTAATAATTTGTAAAAGTTAGTTGGGTCTAAATAAATATACCTAAGTATATCTGTCTATATTCTAGGTTAACACTCAATTCTACATATTATCTAATATACATAATATTATATACATTTAATACATACGAACAATGCCGCGTGAATAGATACCAAATAGATCAAGTAAAAAATAAAGTATATTTTTACTTTGAAAACATTAAGTAAATTCTACAGTGATATAAGTACTCACCGTATTATCTGCAAATATTCGCCGAATATTCCAAATTCAAACTTATACTATCACACCACACGTTTAAAAAATGCGATAAGCGATGTTAAAAATGTAATAAATAATTTGGATTTTGTTTTAGAACACAGCACTGTCACTTTCACAAATCTGGATACTAGTTCAGTCTACCACATAATATTCTACGTTTTCTTAATACACCATTGATTAAATATATTTTTTTACAAATAATATCTACTAAGCTTTGAATTGAGTGAGTAATTTTCAAGATGAGTAGATCTGTCAAAACAACATTAAATTATATTTTATTTAGCAGTATAACCTAACTCAATCCATCTACCAAAAATACAAAGAAAGGTTAATTTAGTAACATTAACATTTTTGTATTGTCGTTAGGTATTGTTAATAAAACGATGTTATTTGAGCACGAATTCTCTAACAATCTTTACATAAAAATACTACAGTAACAAAGTAAGCACAGACAGAAGTGACAAAGTCAGGACAATGTTGCCAGATAAGTTTATATTTTTTCCACCAAAATATGATTTTGAAACTGCCGATTTCGAAGATTTCTCTATAAATAAAGTTTTAACGGTGTAGGTATAATTACATATTTTTTAATTTGTTCTTGGTCATGAAGTGTCTTACTTTTGTCGTATTCTTGTTACTTTAAGTTCATAAAATAAACATCGTAGTAATATTGTAACAAAGATGTTTTATTTCTCCCCAAAGTTTTATTTTCTATCCATCATAAATCCCCCAAATAACCACAAAATTCACCCAATTTGTGGGGGTTCTTCTTCGTTTCGAAGTCCCAATCTGTCACCACTGCAGTTTTTTTATTCAGTGTGACTAGTCTATAACTTCTGATTGGCTAATTGCAAGGCAAAAAGTGCTAAATACTTTAATAATTTTGGTACATAAAAATTATTACGGGTCGCATTATCTCTCAAATGTTCCTTCTCGGATATAATCCGTTTCGGATCCATAGCGGATGTTCTCTGTTTTTACCGTAAATAGATACAATGGGCGCGGTTTTTAAATTGGATGCTAGACATCCTTTCCTATTGGTACTATTTCCTAGTCGAAGAAAACTATTGTCTTAGAGTGGATTATTGCAAACGACCAATATAGCTTGACAGACTCCAAAAGTATAAACTATATTGCCCGCAGCTTTAATTATTTGTAATTTTGGTTTCATTTAATTTTTATACTGCTTTTGTTTTACAGGTTGGTAAGCAATTTATGTAATCTATACATCGATACATATAAATAAAATTGGAGTGTCTGTTTTTTACTACATGCATATGAATAAAAATAGGGTACACACACCAAACTAATATTTTTTTAAAATTTTGTCTGTCTGTCTGTCTGTTTGTTCCGGCTAATCTCGTAAATGGCTGGACCTATTTTGACGGGACTTTTACTGGCAGATACCTAATGTAATAAGGAGTCACTTAGGCTACTTTTATTTTAGAAAAATAAGTGAAATTACACGCGGACGAAGTCGGGGGTACAGCTAGTACATACTAAAATTGTGGGAAAAACTATCGCAATACATCATTTTTACCTTTTATATTGGGAAAAATATTGTATTAGTATCTATGTAAACGAAGGAGTGAATTTTGTAGGTGCCAGTAATCAACCGACAATTAGATAATATTTCTATAGATTAGGTATTGATTGACACAATATAATGAGTTACTGATATGATAGATATGTTACGACGATAACGATATAATTAGTACAAACTAGGATGACTATACAGAATAATAGCCCAATTTATGCTATTGATTGGTATAAGAGTATCGATGTGATGTGAGGACGAAATTTATGTTAATTATTTAATTTTATTACAACAAAATTAAGGTCCACCCCTACGCGTACGCTCCTGGAAACAAACTGATTGTTTTCATAATTATTCCATATTACAATTAAAAAAGAATTAACGATCTATGGATACCTAACTACGTACAGTATTTTTTTTTGACAATTGTAACTGCTCCCTTTTTTTAAAATATTAGCGGCCAGGAATAATAAAACAAAATTCATGATTAAAGTAATTTTTATTGATAATACCTACAACATTAAATCGCCGTGGCTCAGGTCTAGTGTACTACCCTCATTAAGACTTCAAAGCTGGCTGATATCGAAAAACATTTTTGTCAATTTATAAATATTTATGACTTACTGTCCAATGATGGAATTACCGTTAAGCAAGCAACATTATGTCAAGAGGCGGTGACAGGCTCGTCCTCTGCCACATTTGATTCAAATATACCCAACGGAATGTGGCATATCAAGTAATGAAGAAGTACTGACGGTAGATTTGATATATCGTCTGTAATAAAACTACATTTGACGGGCTCGGTGGTCTAACAGTTTAGCACACCACCTTACTTCCGATAGTCGCGGGTTCGATTCCTCGCACAACACAAACATTTGTACTAATGAGCATGATTGTTTGTATCGGTCTGGATGTTTTCTATGTAGATTTATATTAATTTATTAAAAAAAATAAAAGTATATATATTTGTATCAGCTGTCCAGAACCCATATAAGACAAGCTTTACCTAGCTTAACTGGGGTCTAGTTGGCCTTGTGTGAATTGTATTGAGCTTGTTATTACTATTGTCTCATTTTCACAGGTTTTGCTGGTTTTTTACGCTTTGTGGTGTATACCACACTTATTATTATTTAAAGAAAAGGAAAAGAAATAAAAGTGTTGGTTTCACCATTACGTCGAAAATTAACAATGTCTCTGACAGTCGTGATGTTGTATTATTTTTATTATTACCTATTACGAACCTACTCTAGTTCCACATTCATTGGTCTAACATTGAGTCTTTCTGCGAGAGCGGAACTGGAATCAATTTGTTGTTTTATGTATGACACTGTTTCGCTGATAGCAGCATCTCTGGCGTTTATTTTTTCTTTGTCTCCCGGAGCCAGCACTGGTAAACTGGGATCCGTCTGTAAAAATAATCAAATAAATCAAGTATTTGAATTTAAATTTGAAATGTTTGCCTCATATACAGGAGGCTTGCAAATTAGAATATTTCTTAATGGCTTACAAATTAATAAACAAAAAATTTAATGATTAAATCTTAAGTCAATTCTCACAAAGAGTAAGAGTAAGTCACGAGTTCGATTCCTCGCACGATGCAAATATTTAAATTCATCAGTCTATATTGATGAGGATGTTTTCTATGTATATTATTTATGTATTTAAAAAAATGTATCTAAGTATTTCTATTATCTAATCCTTATAACATAAGCTCTGCTACGCTTGAGATCAAATGAAACCACATTGTGGAATCACCTTCCAGCAATGGTATTTCCGAACCGTTACGATATGCAATTCCCCTGGTGTTGCGGGTACTCATGGGTGGCGGTAATCACTTACCATCAGGTGAGCCGCATCCTCGTATTATACGTGTATTGTCAGGTGTACTAAATTTCTTTTACTACATATTTTCATAGATATATGAATATCATACCGGTTCAAGCTGTCTCCAATGCTGAATGCAATCAGTAAGACGATCTCCAAAGCCGGGAGCGAAACGCTGAGGGTCTACAGCAACGAAACAGTGACTCAGATTTGCTGGACCCCCATCTCCGCTATGTGACCATGCACGCACGTGGTGACCATAGTTCGCTCCTGTGGTAAATAATGAAAAATCTATATAGAACTATCTGATCTAGCGAATGTTGTTTTTCCATATAAATTAATATCGCTAATAAAGAATAATGGTTGTTGATAAAAAGGTGAAAATTTCGGGTTGTATATACATATTTGTCAAAGCCGAATCCTAAAAAAATAAACTACTAAAATTTGTCCAAAATATAAATAATAAATTGCAGTGCAGTGCCCCTTATCACTACATGGATACATAGATATTTTTTTTATCAAAATCGGTTAACCCGTTTCAGAGATAGCAACTAACACTGTGATGCGAGAATTTTATGTATGTAGGTAGACTATCTATATACATTCTATATTATATGACCTCCGTGGTAGCTATAAAAAATATGTCTAATTATTAATATTAGTATACATTGAATAATTAATCATTTACCTGAGGATATTCCACAGAACAGTTCTACCATCGCCGAAAGGCCAAATCCTTTGTATCCTGACGTTTGTTCTCCGCCTCCTAGTGGCATTAAACAGCTCGTATCAAAAGCCTGCAAAAAAAGAAAAATAGATTTCGTTGTATTAAAATTCAGGTGATATCTTTTGAAAATCCGCAATGATTTTTACATTTCAATATTTCTAATAACTTCGGTGCTCCTCTGGGTTAACACACTACCGTATATATTTACAAAAATATTTGTATACAAGTTCTTTAGTAGATAGTTTTGGGACTGCGGAAAATTTACTAGTTTGTTATTAGGTACTATTTGTATAACTGTTTCTAAATTGCAAATATTATTTACTTATTTATTCTTCTGTGTTATTTTTAACAGAATATTCTAAGCAGGTGAGGTGAAAAACAAAATGGTCATATTCTTATTAAATACGTATTGTTTCGATTCACCAGTGTAGGTTATAAAGAAACATACCAGTTGCGCGTCGGTGGTTTCCTGCCCGTCTGGTCCCTGTGCCCAGCCACTTGGTATCGGTTCTCCTTTCCTCAACTGCATTTCTATCTGAGAATAATCATAAAAATTCATTATTATAATTATCAATGTTGAAATTATTCCTGTAATTATATGTGAGAAAATTTGCCAAAACGAATAGATAGATGTATGATTATTCCTCTTCATGTAAAAAACAGACTTATTTAGATTATGATTGACAGATGGGCCGGTTGCTTGTTTGCCACAATCATAGTATAAAAAAATATACTATCTAAGTGTCTTGTAGGATCAACAACACCACAAGATAGTTTGTAATGTGTTATAAATAGAAATAGATCTGATCTATAATTAATTAAACACATTAATTGCATATAAAAAGAAAAGAATAGCTGTAGAATGAAACAATAAGCTATATTCTCTTGTCCCAGCCATTTAGACGATGAAGTCTTGCACATTATCCTCTAATTTTACTGTCTAATTCTATATAAAAAGTAAATGTAACTGGCAGCCTACAAACATGTGCGTTATCATGTCCGCAAAACATAATAAAAAAGAATAAAATTCAAAATTAACGGAGACATTAACGCAACATTGCATTTTTATTTCATAAATATAATAAATATCTATCAACCATCTCTCAAATCCTCGATCAGGTTTAAACATAATGTGCAGCTTACAACCGAAACAGAGTTTACAAAGCAAACTGCTTGGCAATGGAAATAAATGAGACTGAGATACCTACGAGACAACTTCTTACAATCTACCTCGGTATTATATTCCTGTAAACTTACCTTGCCCACTGCAACAGCTGTAGTAGCCATGTCTAAGTAGAAGGATTCCCCCTGTGAGCCCGGCGCCACCACTGCTATCGGATTTGTGCCCAGTGCTTCCTGTAACGAGTTATATCTATATATTAATACGTGAAGATAAAACTATGTACCATTTTTTATAAAAAAGAAAATTGTATGTATTTAAGTATATAAGTATGTACCTGCTTACTTCTCGTAGGCGCTAACAGAGGCGATGTGTTTGTGAAAGCCATTCCTATAAAACCTTCATCTGCGGCTTTATTTGCCCAATAACCCGCCATGCCATTGTGATTTGAACCTGTAAGAAATAAGCAGTAAATTGTTTGAGGAAGAAGGCAAATAGTACCGGCGTGTATGCATGGGATCAATTATGAAACACTAATTATAGGAAGATTACTACAAATTATAATAGACCAGGTATAAACAGTTCACCGGTTTCTGAGACTACCGTATACATACGCACATATAAACTAAAAGTCAATAATACAAAAATTGATTTGTATACTCGGTAACATAATACTTTTTTATAAGATCTACGTTATATTTTATTTACTAAAGAAACAGTAAAGTACCTATTTATTTCTTTACTTGGTATGGCAATATTATAGAAAAGATAAAAATACGTAATATTAGTAACTTAATTAGGACATCAGACAGTTCAGATTTAAATATTATTAAATAATATCTAACGTTGTATCCCAACTAATATTAAAGACGACAAAATGCTATAGGTATTGTTAAGATTAAATAACTAAAGCGATTTAAATAACCTATTTTAAGATTGTTTTAAATTTATTTACGTAAAGGTAGTTAGGATTTTGTTTCACTTTTTTTTTATCGATGACAATGGAATAGTTCACCCGCCTGCGCTAACGGTTTATGCTGGCGGGGCACTAGTGGAGGATGATAAGATGAGCATGTGGTCAGGTCAGTTAGCCCATCGTGACAAATTCAAATAGAATTTATCACGATAGTTTCCAGGGGGAACCGCGAGGAGGTCAACCTGACATGGTACATTGCTAGCAATAAGATCATCAATCCACATTACTACATTACTAACAATCCCCCTTTCTTTTTTTTCTAAGAAGCTTTCCCCCTTTTATTGCATGTTATAGGTACCTTTGACAGTGACCCAACCGACTCCTGTATCTCTTGCTTTCTTGATAGCCAGATTCATGCCGAAATGACTAGCAGTAGCTCCCAGAACATTGTTAGCGTCCACCCAAGCTGTTGATGCACTCTCCTTCAATATCCTCGGCTCATTATTGGGTTTGCAGGTTCCCTTTAGAATGTCATTAATATACAATTCTGAAATGTAATTTATTTTAATATTTAAAGTTCTGTATGTAATTTAATAAGTATATACTTCGAGTTGGAAATTGCTTTGTCGATAAATATACTTAAAAAAGTAGAACTCGATCTTTTAAAACTAAAACTTATGAGTACATTAAATTATTAATTAATTACTTAAAAGACGCAGCTTCTAGAAGTAGTTTAGTTGACAAGAACTGGTAAGAAACTCAACCAATATCAACATTTTTCATATTATAAAGAGAATTTACATGTTGATAGAAGATACAAATCTCTAGATTTATATGTGTCAATAGTACGGAGGTAGAAGCAGTCTAAAAAAATAAACAAAAATTATTTAATTTGGTTTCATTTAAGTGGAGTTACAGTAATATTACAACATAAAACAAATTAAATGAGAAACTCTATAATTTATATTTTACACAATTTAATTTAATAGGTTAAGATTGCGTAAAAAACATCGAAATCGGTGCTGAATTTAAAAATAATCAAAAAACTTGTTCTCTGTGTAGATATGTAATTGAGAAAAATATCTGTTTCTTTCTAAATTGGCTTCGATATAACTGTGTTAATTCTCACTACGTTTTCTGAGTTACGTGACATATATGTACCTAACCTTACCCATTAACATGTAACTAGGTATAGTAGGTATGGGCATGTTTACCTAATTATTTCAATATTGTAGTCAGTTTTGCTAGGCATACTGTAATTGACTGGTAGTATTATTATATTCTCAATATACAGTATCATTAGCATAAATTATATTATATTGACGTAAAAAAAATGTTATGTTATATATTATATATATATCAAGTGTGTCCTTGATTAGGGTCAAGAACTAAAATTGATAGTGCTTTAAATGATAATAGTCTCAGATACGCATACACATGAAAGAATATATACTTTTGTGAAATGTTGCTTGCTTGCCACCTATATAGTATAAAGAAACATTGTCTCCATTAACCAGTATTTGCTGGGTGAAAACCTATTTCAATGTCTTCTAGAAGATTCCCTCCAAAATTTTGGTGCGTAATAAGTTGACAAGTTGGTCCGATTACCAAGTTTTTAAAAAAGATTTTAAATACAGGTACAGATTTTAAAGAGTTTTATATCCTTGGATGTAATTGGATTATGGATAAATATTAATACGAAGTGTACTATTAAATACCAGTTTTATTCTTATTGTATGTAATTAACTATCGTACCTAATGGAGGTAATGGAATGCAGTTTCATCATCATCAGTAAACCTAGAAACGGACACTGACTTTACCACAAGTCAAAAATGTCAAAATTGTTTAATTGTTTAATAAAATTGAAAGAAAACCTTACGATTTAAGACTAAATTACCATAAACCATTGGCCATGACTAACCCTACCTAAACTAACCCAAAAATTTGTATTTGACGTTAGTTTTAAGTTTCTGACAAAAGCAAGACTGAAGATTGCTGCAGCTCATAGGAGTAGACAGTCAGTAGCTGGCGCTAAGGGGTTAGCCTGGTGGCCCCTGTATCCAGATTGATGACTATATCCATCCACATCTAACACTTACCAAGTCGATTTAGTCCATGGCTAGGATGTCCTAAAGCATCAGCTTGTATAAGTAAGTCGGCTTGTTGTATAGCCGCCAATTCTGATGTGCCTACCGCCTTTAAACAGTCGGACATGAATCGAACCACTTCTGCTGTCGCCACTTTACCCATTGTAAATTATCTTGAAATATAGAAAAGGTTCATCAGAGACTGGTTTAAGAAACTGGTTTAATATTATAAATGCGAAAGTTGTATTGATGGCTAGATGGATGGATGGACCATCCATTCAAATTTATTTGTTATGTTTGACGCACAAACTACTGAACTGATTTTGATGAATCTTTAGAGTAATATTATATAATAATAGCTTATATATCAGAATACCGGGTAAAACCGCGGGTATATCTAGTCATTATGAATATAATAAATTAACAATTTCTTTTATCATAAGTATGTTACAGACATTCTGTCTAAAAGTCTATTAGTTTTATAAATAATGAAATAATTTTTTATTTAGATTGAAAATGGCCTTACTATGTGTATGGAATAAAAAACTATAACATAAAATAAATATAAAAATAACTGTACTGGATAAGCGAAACTCGTTTTTTTTTATTTCTATTAATGCTTACCACGGAATTTAGGCGTAATATAATAAATAATTAAGTTTTTTGTTATTTGGAGCGGAAGATCTTTAAACAATTATAAAAAGACGTCTGTTTTTAAACCTACTCTGATACTAACTGCAGAGTACAACTTATTATGAGAATGCAAATAATATGTTGATACGGAAGTCCTAACCATAGATATAACTGTGTAAGGGTTCCGTACCCCTCTTCGATCTTCAGCGTTCTTACAGTTGTTATCCATAACTCTATGTATGTCTTCCATTCACCTAGGCAGCCAGATTAACTATGTCGGGGCCCCTAGACAATGCAACTCTCGGGCTTTAATACTTTATCTTTATTACTGATAGAATTTATAATAGACTACTCTATTGTTATGGACTCAATTTATTCTATTAAATTTACACTCTATGAAAGAAGTTGAATTTGGTTTTATATGCGCTCCGGACCTTTAGCTAATGTCCCTAGGCAGTGGTCAGCTTTGTCTAACCGTTAATGCATCCCAGTAGCTAGCTGAGGTGTCCCCTCACTATGTATGTCGATCGATCGATTGCAGTTAAAAACTGAAAATGTTCTATGAAACATACTGTTTTAGCCAACTAATAAATATTTTTTATTATGGAACCCTAAACATTATCTCTGACCTGTTTATCATTGGTATTTATTTAACTAATGAACTTGATATATCTATTATAATGTTCATATAAAACAACGGTTCTGTATAGGTAGGTATACCATTGATAATAGAAAAAGTAGACATGATTATCATTGTTTAAATAATTCATTAAAAGACATATAAGAAGCCAGTATTATTGTGTGGTTTCTCAAGAGAATACTGCCAGGACGAACGCATTAAAAGGTGCCGAACTTATTTTATTTTAATAATATGCATAATATATAATATAACTTTAATAAGCACTGAAAAAGAAAATAATTTAGCATAAAAATTACGTCTCGTGTTGCATCCTTCGGTATTAAAATCTTACACAAAAAAAAATTGTTGTGCATATTATTGTTATTTTTAATCCAGTTCTTTAAAAAACAGGAGGTCCATAGTTCTATTATATTTATCGGTGAGCATTAAGTTATGCTATATCTTCTTCTTTTTTATCTGTTTATTCTTACTTCGGTGTTGGTCATTTTATATTTTGTTTAGATGTTTTTGTGGAACAAAATGGACGTTATGTAACATGCTTGTATATATTAAGTCATTTGTAATTGACGTAAACACAATTATAAACTTTATTACATATATATAATATTTATATATTTTATGAATGATGATATTCACACTAATAGTATAGTAACATGTCAGGACTATTCATACAGCAGCACCATGCAGTAAGCAGAGCTTGTGTTATGGGTACTCGATAACTGATATAAAAACATAGATACATTTTTGTACATATAGGAAGGAATACATACAAAAAACACCCAGACCAATATGTGTGTATTGACAAAAAACATATATCTAAGTATATATATCGATCAGTTGTCTAGATCCTATAACATATGCTCTGCTTGGCTTGGGACTAGATGACGCTGTGTGAATTTTCCATGCATATTATTCTTATTACTAATAAATTAACTAATTAAATGGTATTTAGACTTAATATTTAAAATTAGCATAATAAATATTTTTTTAATCTTATGAATGTAATTCTCTAAGATTACTTTGGGCTATATATTGACTCGCACATTTATTCAATCATATTCCAATTTTTTTCTAATATTACTAACTCTAATTTTTCCTAAATTAAACCTTAATACATAAATATATACTTTTGATGGAGGTATTCAGTGGATTACATATACCTATAGCAGTAAATATAATTTATTTTCGTTCCAATCACAGTTGCACGTTACATATAAACTGATACTTAGCAACATTACTTATTTTAAATGTGATGGATTATATTTTTTCTTCTTAATTCAATGTGCCTAATAACTTTTCGTCCCGTCACGATGTTATGATATGTAATAATAAAGATAACATGGCAGAAGTGGGGGAAGGGGATTGTTATGTGGACTAATAACCACATTGCTAGCAATGACCTTGTCGTGGTTCCTCCTGGAAACCATAGTGATAAATTCATGGTGACTTAACCACGAAGGGCTAACTGACCCAACCTCATACTAATCTTATCATCCTCCACTGGTGACCCAACTAGCGTAAACCGTTACTGTCATCCATAAGAAATAAATATGGCAGAAGTTTAACCACATTCCATCAGATATTTAAATGGGCCGTCAGCTGGTTGCCATTCAACCGTATCTAATTTACATCTGTTCCTGAAATATAATCACACACATTGACCTAACTTATACAGCCTGATTTATTTAATATTTATTTGATTTTGTAAGAAAATGGGTTCTATATATTTATAACAAATATAACGGCTTTGTGTTAAATATTAATTGATATTGACTATATTGAATAAAATATTATATATCATACAAAGTACACTCATGGAATAGTTTTTTTTGTTTACAAACTTACACCAAAAGTTTTGAGATTTAAGAAACGATCTTTCGGTCTATTTATAGTCGTGATTGTAAAACACTGTGGCATGACGGTTTCAAATATTCAAATATATTATAAAAACATATAAGTATTTTCATAAATTTTTATAATCGTCCTGTATAAAACCACAGATAAACCACAGATTGTGGTGTTGTATAAAAGCAGTTACACTTTCCAGGTATTAGAACTTCCTAACAATACATCATGCCCGAAGTACGCGTCGATGAAGTAAGGAGATTCATGGAAGACAGTTTAAGGGCTGTGGGGGCGCCGGAATCCGAAGCGGTAGCTCATGCTGCCCTGCTGCTGCACGCTGACGTCACAGGGCATTTTAGCCATGGATTGAACAGATTAGGTAATGTTGGAAACTTGTATTATTTTAAACATTATTCGTCTAGCGGTTTAGCACACCGCCTTACTTCCAATGGTCGCGGGTTCGAATCCTCGCACGATACAAACATTTGTATTCTTGAGTATGATGCTTGAATCGAGCTGGGCGTTTATGTATTTCTATCAGTTGTATTGTTTCTATCTAGCACACCCATAACCCATACCCATAACACAAGCTTTAGCTAGCTTAACTTGGGTCCAGAGTGAGATTATTATTATTATTATTGAGCAAAGATAAACGTTTACTTAAACAACAAAAGCACGTGACAATAGTTGTTCATGCACAGGATTTTAATTTAATGTAAGACATACACACCTAATTAAGTAAACAATGTTAACAAACGGAATTAAAATAGGAACGGAGTTTCTTGCCAGTTCTGAATTTACCATTACTGAACGATAAGGAAAAAAAAAATGAATTAGCGACTAAAAGTCCCATATGAATAACTCAATTTTCAATTAAAATTTTAAAATTAGAATGATCTGATAGTACTCAACAATGAATATTATCAGACATGCTAATTTTTAAATTCTCTCTGTGTGTAAAGTTTGTGTTTCATGTTTCATACACTTTTCATTACAATTATATAGCTATACATGCGACTTGATTCGTGTTCATACTATAACAAAAACCATGTGTTAATTTTTTTTTAAACAGAGTGTTCTACGTCTTCGTCCACTGTATATTAGAGATAAATTTAACTTAAGATTATAAGTTTCATAAATTAAAAATACTTGATCTAAAGTTTGTGTAATTATTTCAAGTAATCACACATGACTTTGTCAAGTAAGTGTGATGCAGACAAAGTTACGCGGGTCTGCTATTGTGTATCTACCTACTAAAGTTTTGAAATACCTAAGTGCTAATATTATATTTCGTAAAATGATTCGATTCGATTTCGAAAAAAATAAATATATATGTATATTTATTTTTCGTTGCAGAATTTTACATAAACGACATATCCTCGGGACTTACTGATGCCAATGCAAAGCCGGTAATACTGAAGGAATCGGCAGCAACTGCTTGGGTGGATGGCGCCAACGCCTTAGGAGCTACTGTCGGGAATTTCTGCATGGATGTAGCAATCAGGAAGGCGAAAGAATGCGGTATTGGATGGGTGGTAGCGAAACGTGAGAATTTATATTTTATTTACATCCATAAACTAAAATACCACGCGGATCATCTGGATGAACAGCGGTCCTCCATTGTGCCTTTTTATCACGCATAATAATAATATAATGAATAAATTCTGGGTTCATTTTCGCGGCTTAGACAGATGTACCTGCCTACACGTATTGTCGCATACGACTTTGTACAGTCTGCTTTGGTAAAAAACGTTGGATAGCTTTATTAACTTATTAACTTTTATTGTTACAGGAAGCAATCATTTTGGTATGGCCGGATGGTGGGCCTTGAAGGCGCAATTAGAAGGTTTAATTGGATTGACATTCACAAACTCTTCACCTATTTTGGTTCCAACAAGAGCTAAAAAAGTAAAACCTTATCATATATAATAAAACTCTGAAACGGCTTGACTGTTTCTTATAAAATTTCTTTATGGTAAAATAACATTTGCTGGATCAGCTAGTATTGATATATTTATGTTTTGTAGGGCACTTTGGGAACTAATCCTATAGCAATGTTTGCGCCGGCCACTGGTGGCGACTACATCGGAGTGGACATGGCGAGTACAACTGTTGCAATGGGAAAGGCAAGTAGTACTACTTAATACAATGAATGCATTATACTAAGACATCACACATCATGCGTTGCAGGGTCGCCATCCCGGATGAGATGTAATGCATATATAATCTTTAATTTGCCATATAACACAAGATGAGATAAAGCAATGGTTACACTGCCTTATCTCATAATTTAAACAAAACACCGCTAACAAAGCAGAAGACATTGTATAAAGTCTACATATTTCAGTCTCTAATAACATTGTATAATGGTATGTCTGTTATAGATAGAAGTGCAGATACACAAAAAAGAACCATTGCCAGAAGGCTGGGCTATGGGGACAGATGGAAAAGTGACCACAGACGCTCAGGAGGTAAAAATATTAGCATTAATATAAATCATTATTTTTCAATTGTCACTCAAAACAGAAATCTTAGATGCAGTTATTGTTACATATTTTAGATTCTTTGAATAGCAAAATTCATCACATCTTTTTTAAGATTCATTTTGTTTTCTTTTATTTACTTAAGTTAGGTTACCTACGTTTGTGGTTTATTGCACGTTTATCTGTGGAATATAATTAGACATTTATGTAGAAAAATGGTACCATATTTTTATCTGATTGTCTAAAATTATCACTAACATTGCAGGCATTTAAAGCAGGCCGCCTCCTTCCATTGGGAGGACTGGAGTCAACCGGCGGTTACAAGGGCTACGGCCTCAGTGCAATTGGCGAGGTTTTCTGCAGTGGTTTATCTGGTAAATATCGTGTAATTTCTTACAAATAAAATTAACAGAAACTAATAAAATAATATCGACAAGACTGTTATACTAGATGGGGTAGTCAGAGGCAATGTCAACTGTTGATTTTGTGGTGAATTATACTAATTATATATATATATTATTAAGTATAGTTCGCCACAAAAACATATTGGATTCAAATATAGCCAGCAAAATGAGGGAAAATTAAGTATAGTTCACCACAAAATCAACAGTTGACAGCCCAGCCCAGCCCATCTCTCAGCCAGGGGTAGGGGAGAGAATACCGAAGTCACTATGATAAATTTTTTTGTAATGAATCGCCAGGCACGACGATTACAAAAATAATGAAATTAGACCAATTGATCACTTATAAATATATATAATTGATCACTTATAGATAATAATCTAATAGAGATTATTTTTTGATTATACGAAATGCTAACGGTTTTCATATGTGCATTCTACTTTTTTTAGGTTCGAACTGCACTCATCGTGTTCCTAAGTGGTCTTTCACTAGGCAAGGCGACCCTATGGACTTGGGACAATGTTACGCTGCTATCGACCCAAATTGTTTTGCCCCCGGGTTTGGTGAACGCATTGCAGACTGCTTAAGGACATGGAGAAATTTAGAACCGGTACTTAGATTTATTTTAGTATACTAAATAAGTTTCATAGAATTGACACAATTGTCCGATGGCTAAACAAGTAATTATTCCAGTAACGGATGTCTTAGACTAAAGGTTTCCTGTGAAACCGGGTAATATAAAGATTTACCGAACGAAAATGCGACTAAGTGCAGATTGCCCTCCAAACCCGCGAAAGAACTTATAGCGTGGTGACTATTTCATCACAAATGAAAATGTACTAGTTTGTTCGGAAATTCTATTAAAAATAGGATTATATTTTATATCTCATACTACAGTCAATTTCTTTCTCTCATACCAGGTGGACCCAGAGCTACCTGTGTTGGCACCAGGTGACAAGGAACGTATAAATGCTGAGCAAACAACAAAACGAGGATCAATCATCTATTCCGAATCACAGATTGAAAGTTGTGACACAATGGCTCGAAAAATTGGAATTAAACCTTTAAAAGTAGTTTAGTAACTTATTTAGAAAGACTACTATTACTAGTATATATTGTAATAATAGGTTAGCGCAAATATACACCCTAAGCCATTATTTAAAGTTTGAGAGGTCTAATGTCTGTCTAACATTTATTGTACTAAAACGTTTTGCTAATTTTATTATTAAACCATTTAATAACCTACAATGTTAAACTTTGGAAGAAGGGAAGATTCCATCTAAATAATTTACCACGGGCTTGACACTGTAACAATTTATTGCATTATATTATATTACACACTATTTTTCTATATTAATTTTATTGGTTTTCTAGTACAACATCCATAGGTTTTACATGGAGCCGTTTGGCGAGTGTTGCGCTGGATTCGATTTGTTGCTTCACATACGACACTGTTCCTCTCGCGTCTGTTTCTCTTGCTGACGCTTTCTCTTTATCTCCTGGAGCTTGGACTGGCAATTTGGGGTCGGTCTATAAAAATAATATTTTAATTCTTTTAATTGTTGTGTGATCAGACACTATTTCAGACTATATTGTAAATTACAAATGGCATTTCAGAGTAACAAAAATGTCTTAAATTAATAGGCGCAATATATTTTTGATATTTTTTATGCACATAAATATAACTGATAAATCGTCACATATCGATGTGGTATCGTGTCTATTACATAAATTACTAATGTGTGAAACTAATATATGTTAATTATGTTAAACCATCGTTGTAAAACCACATGTAAGCAATTAATTAAATTATATTTCATTTCTGAAAGATGGACAAAAATTCTAAATACGTGTATTTTAGTTTCTGTAACTCTAATTAAGACCCTTTTATAGAAATACTGACAGACACCTTAACGCAGTAAAGGGAATAGGCATAGAATTGAATGCATTTTGCTAGAATCTAAATTAAAATATATCCTGTATAATACAGGAAAATATTATGTACGAACCAAGATGCTAGTAAAATTTATTATCGCGGTTGTTCTTACCGGTTCTAACTTCCTCCAGTGTTGAATACTTTCAGTAAGTCGATCGCCAAAGCCCGGGGCGAAATTCCCTGGGTCTATTGCGACGAAACAGTGACCCAAATTGGCGGGACCGCCTGCCCCGCTGTGGGACCATGACCGAACATGATGACCGTAGTTAGAACCTGTAAATTCAATATTCAAAATCTCTTTATTCATGTAGGTCTATTATTACAGGCTCTTACGTCAAATATACTGTCAGTTCGGAAAGATTTCGAGATGAGAAGAACTGACATATTGAACCGACTGAAATATTAAAGACTCACTAACAACCTGTTATTACTAACCACTAATAACATTTCCTATTAGAAATGATTATTATACTGATAAGTCAGTATAATAATCATCTCTAATACGAACTCAGACTCTTCAGAGTCTCATTGAATTTACCGACTATATTTTCTACCACCAAATTATTAATTTCTGCCATTATGTAGTTTTATTTGTTATCTTGGTCGGTGGATATTTGTAATTTATATATGGTATATCTATAAATATAAAGCAGTATCATTATTAAAACTGTTCTTTTATTTTTAGCTTTTTAAAACACGTTCTAATTTAAACATAAAAAATCCCATTTTTTGCAAAATGGCCGCCCTATGTTATATTACGTTAATCTTTTTATACATTATAGTTTATGTAATTGTTGTTTATGAGTATAACAATAAAGAGTTGATACGTACCAGAAGATATTCCACAGAACAGTTCAACCATAGCAGCCAGCCCAAATCCCTTGTATCCCGATGTCTTTTCTCCGCCGCCGAGTGGCATCAAACAACTTGTGTGGAATGCCTAAATCAAGAGATATTAATTAATCGAAACTTAATATGAAATATTATTTATGTTAATTTTTAACTTAAAAAAATAAATGAATGATTTAAAAACAAATCATCTATAGACACATATTATCAGGGAAAGCCATTGTTGTTCTACATGCGAGCAGCGACGTGTATTGTATTAGTTTCAATATTGAAGGTTATAATTATTCTCAAATGAGAGAAGTCTATAAAATTATATGCTCTAGTGGTTGTTATAATTGATAACTTGTCGCGACATACGCATTATGTTTTTCCAGCATATCGATACACGCGATATTTGATGGACAAAGCTGAGGACACACTAATTTCAAGAGCTCCATATAATAATTACGCCCGAGCGAAGTAGGAGCTTTTCACTAGTAGTATAGAAAATACATAATTTGTAACACCGTCGAAATATCTTGAGCTCTTAAAGAATATTGTCATGGTAAATATTTCGTTCATATAATGAGTACAATTACAAAATAATAATTAAATACATAGACCAAATGCATACCAGGCGTGCGTCTGTGGTTTCTTTGCCATCAGGCCCTTGTGCCCAACCATTGGGCAACGGTTCTCCTTTCCTCAACTGCATTTCAATCTGGTGATAAATACAATAACCTACATAAGTATAAAAGTCAGACGGCGTTGTCGATGAAGTAAAAGTTCATTTAAATTTGAAATTTAAATCCTGCATTTTATATTAAGTAAAGAAATGAAGTTTTCAAAAATTCGATTTTAACAGTTAATACTACTATTATAAACTGGAAAGTATATGGATGGATGGACATTTCTTCTATTTCACGTAAAAACGTTCTAAACGGATTGGAATGAAATTTGGTACACAATTTTATATCACAAATCACAGAACAGACTTATTTGTTCTGTGACAAAGGATACTTTTTTAAATTACTTGTTTATACAGTTACACTCTTGTAAAGCACTGAATATTTTTTCTTTCTTTTTATTTTTTATTCTCCGATAGTCTTAAACGTATGGTTTACCTTTCCTACAGCAACAGCCGTAGTAGCCATGTCCAAGTAGAAAGATTCACCCTGCGACGCAGGCGCTACTACAGACAGCGGATTTGTTCCTAATGCTTGCTGGAAAGTAAGGAAAATACAAAATATGAGTAAAACAAAGTTACTTTTGAAGAACGTACTTTCGCAATTAGTGAAAACACCAGCATGTACTATTGATAACGATTTTACATTGAATTAATTTTTATATTTAAATTTAGAATGACTTCGATGGTTAAGCACTTTAAAACACTGTCTCAACTTACGATGGCCGCGGGAACGATTAGCGTGCAAAACTAATTCATTTTTCAAGAAATTTTAAAAAGTGTAATATACATATTAAAACTATAAAATACAATTTCTACCTGTTTACTTCTCGTTGGAGCCAGGAGAGGTGATGTATTTGTAAATGCCATTCCAATAAATCCTTGATCTGCAGCTTTTTGTGCCCAAAATCCTGCCATACCGTTGTGATTAGACCCTGAAATATTACGAGTGCAGATTAGTAGTATGAATATAAACTGCTTCTAGCATTAAGTTGGTCTATTCGTCAAATTAGGGCTATAATGTGAACCATACTACGCTTAACACGCTTAGCAAATGTCTTTGCAGCACTATCTGAAAGATCAACCTGTACAGCATACTTCACGATTTTGTGAATTGCTATTTTCATTAGGTATGCAAACCTGCGGATGAATTTATTCCGTTTAGAATATGGAACCACGCAGCTTGTTCATTCCTCTTCGAATATTCCTTATGAATCATCGACTATGTATATATTTACCTTCCTTCTATGCATATAGGTTTTCACACAACATAAAATTATAATGAAGAATTGCAAATAGGTAAAACTTTAACATTAATAAACAATACAATAGACTACCTTTTACAGTGACCCAACCGACCCCTGTTTCTTTGGCCTTCTTGATGGCCAAGTCCATACCGAAATGGCTCGCAGTGGCTCCAAGCACATTGTTGGCGTCAATCCAAGCTGTCGACGCACTCTGCTTCAGCACCTTAGGCTTATTATTTGGCTGGCATGCTCCCTTTATTATATCATTTACATATAATTCTGAAATCAATAAAATAGACCTTGTAACATTGTTAGAGTCTTATACGTCTGTCTCACTTACTTCCGCCGCTAAGCATCTTGATTTGCAAGATGTGAAGACTAATAAGAATAGAATTTGAATTTGAATTTTGAATTTAAGAAGAAGAAACGTGCTATGATATCGTTGATGATCCGAATCTATCTGACGGTATAGAACCACTTAGCTAAAGCAAGACTTCGCATCGCTCTGTGTGTTCTACCATTTGGTATATACATACAACGGATTGTGTTCTGAAGAATTGTTCGACATAATGTCTACGACTACCTTTTACCACGGCACCGCTCGCCATATTCACACGCTGGAACCTAAGTTCTCGGACAGAAAATTCAGTTTCAAAGAAGTTTACCAGGAGTAAGATTCTCACACCCATATTACGACATGTGCTTCGCCTCTGAACGAAGCATCATCAGATATCGCATAGAGTTCGGATATAGCTTGGAAACATAGTGTTGGCTGTTCGGCGCTCAAACAGCGGCTCTTGCGATTTGCGGAACAAAACAATAGAATATAAATAATGAAATGGACTTCCTCATAATATCCAAATCTATGAAATATATATTAAATTTACCAAGTCGGTTTAGACCATGGCTGGGGTGGCCCATCCGGTCAGCTTGGAGAAGTAGCTCAGCTTGTTGTTCTGCCGCTTTCGTAGCTGCTCCAACTGCTTTGAGGCAGTCAGTCATGAATCGTAAAACTTCTGACGTCACTACCTTGCCCATGATGGATATTAGAGATTATCTGAAAATATATAATTACTCGATCAGTGAATATATTTTTTTATTATGTAGCCGGAATTGTACACAAATTGAGGGCCCTTAATGGTAATTGGTAACCGTCGTCTATATATACGGTTTACCTCATGGGCTGCCATTCCGGAATACTCTGATGCTCTAAGACTAAGATTCTCGCACGGTATAAACATTTGTATTCATGAGTGTGATTGTTTGTATCGGTCTGTCTGTTTTCTACGTATATTACGTATTACAAAAATCTATGTATTTATATCAGTTATTTAGTAACCAACAACACAATCATTAGCTAGCTTAACCTATGTCTAGATGGCGCTGTGTGAATTGTCCTGCAATTTCACTGTCGTATATCATCATTCAACTGAAATGTATCAAATGAAATCACATAACTGCATGGACACTTTGTGAAAAGTATATCGCGGTAAAGTTATAATAATTTTACAATATTTATCTAGTACTGCACACTATTTGTTATGATGATAACAGTGAGATAAGACATTGTTTTTGAAGACAATATATTTACAATTGGCATACCAATGTAAGTATGCAATTTATATAATATAAGTACATATATCATATCGACCATCGCGATCCTGGAAATTAATTGCTCGTGAATAAACCATGTTTCTTTCCTGCTAATTCTTTAATAATTTACTGGTATCTCCTATTTACTTATTTAGATAAACCGCCAATAATCCTTCGCTACACCAATTACAGAGAAAAGTAGTAATATTTTTTTGTTCTGTGGCACCAGTCATGGTTGACTGGTAGTTAACGCATCGAAGTGTTAAGTCCACCATATGCACATTTTATTATGTGCATAAAAGTTAAATCTTATTATTATAAATATTATAAACGTGAAAATTTGTGAGTATGGATGGATGTTTGTTACTCTTTCGCGCAGAAACTACTGGACCGATTTTGATGAAACTTTATAGTAATATAGCTTATAAATCAGAATAACATATAGGCTATACATTTCATGCGGGTGCAACCGCGGGCACAGCTAGTAAATAATAAAGTAAGTTATTTAACAAAATTCGAAAAAGAAGAAGCCCTCAAAGAAAACTTTCTATAGGTACATTCCTAACATTCCTCGAGTAACACCTATTAAAAATAATTTAAGTATTTTGTATTACCACTCATTATATTAGAATTATAAAGTATATCTGATTGACTGTCTGTGTACCTTTTCAAAACTAAAAGCTATACAGATATATATGAAATTTAACGTAAAGATATATTGGATTTTAAGAACGGATATACTCAATCTTTTATGACAAAAAAAGCAGCCGAAATCCCATTATATTAGAATTATAAAGTATGACTGTCTGTGATTGACAGATATATATGAAATTTGTCTGTGCCGAAATCCCGCAAATAGGTCTGTTTATAAGTATTAAACAAAAACAACTATTTTGTCTACCTGAATGGTAACCATGAATATAAACAAACAAAAGATAACCTTGTAGATTATTAACATTGTTGTCTGTTCATTAGACGACATAAAGAGAACACTACATATATGCACTTAAGGTGCAGATTACGTTTGCTTTGAATGTAATGTCACCTTTATAATTTAGGTATCTGCAGTATGTTGCGATGAAATCAAAACAAAATGAAACTTACCAGATATAGATTAACTAATTACTCGCCTTGGTCGTTGTAACTTCTAACTTTATTTATAGATGTATAAATGTAATTATTGTAATTGTATAATAAATTTATAATAAAGTCAGTTCTCTATTTATTTTGTAACTTCTCATTGGAACTTCATCATTATTAAGTTTGAATATTTATTAGATATTATAATGTCCCCACCGACTAAGATATTCTAGATATTTATTCTAATTACATTTTATATTTACAAACACAACCACTTTCGATATATACGTTCGTGTGTAATACGCCCGAGTATGATTTATGGAACTGGAAATGGTCACTTGTGAAAATAGTAATATACGACTCTAATTATGATAAATACTACAAAATTATAGTTCCAGTATTTTTAATAATATTATTGCGTGTTTAATCAACATATTTCTACGACTTCAATACGAAATACATTGTATAATGCACGTGTATAGTCAAACGCACTCGGATGTGAACTACCGGCGAGACTCGGTCGTGACTGGAGCATCGAGCCATTGAATAATAAATCGCAATGACACGTAATAAAACACAAATTAGTTATACATGTATTTCCATTAGTTTTGTTAACATTTTAGGTCCTTATAATAAAAGTAACAAGACTATTAAGACCAATTAAATTATACAGACTTAAATGGATAGGGTACACCAAGCTGCAAGGCGGGGATAGTACTCACAACTTTCTCAAAGAACCGAAGTGGAGTCATTAAAATAATTTTGAATACATGATGCAGAGAGATCTATGATGCAGTCCATCCAGAGCATGCATGCAAGATCAATTCAGTAGGAAAAGTAAAAAAAAATAGTTCGGAGATTTCTACTTTGTTGTTCTTCTTGGTATACCCATCACAACAAATCTTGAATTGTATACAGAATGAACAAAACATTTTATGCCCTCATTGTCCAACCAATATGTATTATATATATTTAATAGTAATTTATAATGCCTCATAAAAATTAACAAAGCATGTATACATATGTGTGTATACGAATCAAGTAATATTTCCGAGTGACGCCTACATTTTAAGGTAGAGCAATTTATTGTAACATTCTTTGTTACATTGGGAGTCCATCATTTTACAGGATATTAAAATAAGTAATATGTCATACCATATATATTATAAAATACGGGAAATAATATCAAGATATATTCGTTAATATTTATGTAACGCTAAACAATAATACATAAAGTTATAAAACGCCTTTTAAAATATTCTTCAAAAATGTGTAGGGCTGGAAAAAAATATTATGATAGTGGGTAGGAGATGGGTGTACATGTATAATACATTACTAATACTAATATAAACCTTATTTTTTTTAAAAAAAATGCTTTTGAAACGACTTCATTTTATACTATGTAAAGATTAGTATAAATTTGTAATCTTTTTGTGATATGCATAATTATCACAAAATAAACATTACGATGGGTAGTACCAACGAGTAATTACGTAACAATACCATATACCTAATGTGGTGTAAGAAGTGTGAAATAATCAGTTGAAAGATATTATGAAGTGTAATTAATTATGTCTTTCGATTAATCTGCGTAATGGATTAATAGCGATTATTCATCAAGAAGTATTTAGCATACAATAGAATATAAATTACAGCTTATGTTTTCACTGTGCCATTTTTTATAGATCATGTTTGTCAACAACTTTTAAATGTTAGCAGGGCAAACAATTTCTTGTGCACGTCGTAAATAGGGTAAATCTTTAAAATTACTCTTACTACTGTCTTACTTATACATGTAATATTATGTTATTTGTGCTTATACTAATAGTCTTATAAATATCATTAATACTAATCCTTACTAATATTCTAAAGGCGAAAGTAACTCTGTCTATCTGTCTGTCGTGTTTTCACGTCAAAACTACTCAACCAATTTAAATGAAATTTGGCACACAGGTAGTCTAGAGCCTGAGAAAGGACATGGGCTACTTTTTAATGCGAAAAAAGGGTTGTAAGGCGACATGAAGGGGTTGTACGGAAGTATCGTCATTTTTAAAGGCAGAAGGTATAAAAATACTTTTTAGGCTATTTATTAAATATAAATAAATATGACATTCAGAGTTTGTGAAAATTTTAATCTTAAGGGGATAAAAGTTTGTAAGGAAATTTGTCATTTTTAAAGTTAGAACGATGAAAATTTTTTTTGGCTATTTTGGGTTAGATTATTAAATATTTTTTGCTATAGGTACAAGGTTTTTTCTATTAACTATTATACCTCAACAATAATTATTTTATCATTTGAATTTATTTATTTCAGGTTTTTGGAAGATAATCTATGTTCCTACAACCAATATAATGATCTCCGAAGAAGGAATTCGAATAAAAAAACAACGCCTAATAAGACACAATTGAAGAGGAAAATATACACCACCGATACCAAAAAAGGGGTCAAGATCAAGGTCAAAATAATCTTCCTCTAAATCTGTATGGTAATTATATAACAAAGAAACATACCACATAATATTAATTAGGACCTCTGTAATACGACCAGATATCTATAAAGTTAGATATTTTTTGTGCATACTTTTATTTTAGTGCATTATTTACAATATATAAACCGAATACAAAAAAGGTTTTGTAAGTGTACTATATTAGGACTAGATATATATAATATTATATTAGGATCTTACGAGTTGTAAAATCATATAATACAAAAAATAACTTTCTTTAAAGTGAAATAGTTTTGTATATGATATTGTTTTAGTGTATTATTTACAATACGTAGATTGACAACAAAATGGTAGAATCCCTCATGTGGAATAAAGTCTGCTTACAGTACAATTAAATTTTTAAGATCGTTGTATCCAGTCATTTTAATGTTTTTTTTTTACAAAAAAAAAGTGTAACAAACATTATTGATTTTAGATGATGCAGTTTACTACTCAGTGTGTTGTTACCCATAATACAAAAATAAATAAAACAATGATTTCAGATAAAGAGTTTTTTTTATCTTCAATCTGAGATTCAGTTTATTTCCCAGTTTGTTCATCCCAGTAATACAAAAATGCCACATGTTTAGTATTTGCTGATTGGTGATATACTAACTTGAATGTAACTGAGGGCTATTTCATTCTCGAACATAACCTTCTTCAATAATGATTAGGTATATATTATTGTATAATTGAGATTTTTTGTAATTCAGATGTGATAATGGAATGGTACACACGCATGCATTAACGGTTTACGCCGGCGGGGCCGCGGGGCACCAGTGCAGGATGATGAATAAGACATGAGGTCAAGTCAGTTAGACTGTATTATCGTGCCAAATTTATGGAATTTATCAACGATGGTTTTCAGGGGTAACCACGTGGAGGTCAATTTGACATGGTACATTACTAGCAATGGGGTTAGTAGTTCACATTATTAACAACCCCCTTCCCCCTTAATTCAGGTATACATAGTATGCACAACCTGCTTATTGCAGTAGAAATATTAAGAATACTAATTCCTAATAGAATTATTGATATACTAGTTTTAAATGTCAGATATTGCAAGTAGGAATAAGTACGCACTCTATTCATTATATATTTGTTAATCTAGTTCACCTTAAGTTTTGGATAATTTTTAATATCATAATATGAACGAGTAAGGCCAAGGCAATTCAGTATGCTACTTAATTAATGAATAAAATAAATAGTTATGTTTCTAATTCATTTGTAAAAAGTGGAATAAGTCTTAAGTAGATATATTATAATTTCTGTAGATTGGAAAATTATATTATATTGAATGATAGGATGAATATGGGACTAGGTGAGTTGTCTGTCGGGGCAAAATATTGTGGAATTTGTACTTCAGTGGTGTTGCATACCGCCTTACTTCCAATGTTTGTACCACAGATAACATAATATTACATAACAAAACCAATTTGTATTTTAAATTGGTTGTCTAGAGTCAAAGCTTTGTTTAGCTTGGAACTAGATGGCGCTGTGCGGATTATCTAGGGTTATTATTATTTATTATGATGGATGCCCTCTGGGTACCAATGGTATAATTATTTCACATTACTATCAATCGCCTTCCCCTCAACGACCTTCTATTAATAATGCCCTGTGTATTATTGACCGTGTCAAAGAACAGACGAACAAAAAACTGAAGTGTTAACACTACAGTTTTTGTACAGGTCAATAATCTAATGTGATTTATTTCATTAAGTACATATTTATAAAAAAAAACAATAATACAGTGCTCGTTAAATCATACACTCAATTATGATAAACCGGGACAGATCATTATGTTAACCTTGGCCTTCAATATCTACTTTTTATGAACAAAAGTCTTGAATAATTAACTTTTATTATTATTTTTTTATTATAGTAGGGCATATAATGATATGAATAGAATTGGAAACAATACCTTCTTCATACATTACATTAATATTTAATACTTTAGCTAAAAGTAAATAGCTCTACACTATGAGCTATATTTTTTAATTAATTGGAATGGTCTATAAACTGACTTCCCATTTGATGGTAAGTGATTACCATCGTGAATGTTTTTTAATTGATAGTATTGCAATGGTGCAGTCAACTGCGCTAACGACAAGAGTTACCAGGGGCATCAGATATAAACTAACATTTTAATGGTATCATCCGTACCATTTTATTTCACCTTGTCAACTTACAACCGAAACAAATCTTACAAAGCAAGCTGCTTGGCTGCTGAAATAGTTGAGAGCTGTAGAGATAGTTCATTCATTTAGACGACAGTCTAGTTCGCTAATTTATGTCCAAAAAGCAGTAGTATATTAGTAGTATATTATTGATTTTGTTTTCAATATATATATTCAGTTACAGAAGAATAAATTACTTTAATTTACAGTTATAAGCTACAGAATCTCAGACTACGCAATGTAGAATTATTATCCTGTCTTATTTGTATTATTAAATTACACTACTTATGCAACGTCTACCGTGAGAGTACATGTCATGATTTATATTGAATTTAAACAAAAAAAACACGATCTAAGTGTAGGTGGCAAAAAATGTGGTTTTACGAGGTTCTTAGGGTTTTACGTGTTCGAGTGTGTACTAATATAACAAAAACATCAATATCTAAATTATAGTGATTATAAATAAAAAAACATTATATATTAAGTTATTGCTATATCTTGGAGTGAAGATAAATATTTACCTCCAAGACAAATGGACGGGACTAAAAACTTATTTTACTTTAAGTAGACCTGCATCTACTCAAAGACTCTGCAAATGTAATGTATTTTGATTTTGTGCTCAAAACTGATATGGAACAGATGAAATATAGGTAAGCATTAGAGATTAGATTGTAGAGAAGACTCTAAAAATATCTGTTACAAAACGGATAAACCATCGCTCTACATTTATGTGTGAATAACTGCAAATATCCATTAAGTGCAGTTAGACCATTATTTTAAGATAATGAAATGTATTCTGTCTACATTCCTATTCAGTTTCTTTG